CCACCGTCCACACAGGCGGCTCCCGCCGCCGACGGGCTGAAAGGCCCCGCAGCTGGCCGCCCTATTTGAAGCGACGCCTCCTCTCCACGCTCTGTTCCGTGCGGCTTCGCCCCGAGCCCCAGCGGCCCCGTGGGCCCTGGTTCTCTCAACGTTTTAATAAGTGACTTTCGGCGAGGCCCAGCGGCCAGGAGACTGGAGGGCGCCCGCGTCCCTGGTTCCCTGTTTTCCTGGCTTATTAATGGTAACTAATTGCCTCAATTTGTGCTAATTCAAAAGGTATGACCTCTGATGTCAGTATACGCCGAGCACACTAATTGGGAGGTTTCTGATGATATCGAACAAATACGCTAAATTAAACTCATGGGGGAGAGGCCCTGTGACGGGAGACCCCACCAAGTAGATAATATTTTTTTAAAACCCATTAACAATCATCTGCTGTGTGACTTTTGTATGCGGCTTCAGGGACTGGCCCGCTGACCAGCACTGGGCGCCTGCCCCGGAAGCTGGGGCGGGTAAGAGAAGCTTCCGCTCCCGGGGGGTACAGGGTTAAGTCTCACGCTAGCAAGCTGTCCGCAGCCACTGCGGCCTGAGTCCATCCCCGGCCAGGGAGTGACCCACAGGGTGCGGCAGACCTCTCCTGTCTCCCCGCGGCTCCCCTCAGCAGTGTCTTTCAGTCAGTCTGCCTGTTCTGCTCCCCGCTTTGTCTCTGGTGAATCCTCTTACACCCCCACCCCGCATCTCTGGCCTGTACCCCAGTTCTTCTGTGCAAAAATAAATAAAATCTTAAACAAAAATAAAGTTTTTAAAAAAATCAGAGAGAAGATCAAACTAAACCCCCATTAACCAGAAGGAAGGTAATAATGAAGATGAGAAAAGAAATTGGAAAATACTAAAAACAATGGAGAAAAATCACTCAAACTAAAGCTGGATTTTTTAAAATACCAATAAAATTAATAAACATTTAACTAGACTGATCAAAACAAAAAGAGAAGTTTCAAAATAGTGAAATCAGGAGTGAGAAAGGCAACATCACACTGGCAGTAGAAAAATCAAACTGATTATGAAAATATTATTAACAACTGGTCTGAATAAATGAGTGCAAATAAAATAGGGCTTCCTTGAAAGGCCAGTGTTAGTAACGTCAGCTAACTAATTAACATCACATGTCGCTGATGCGCCCTTACGAAAAGATGAAAATTCCGAATAGGCCCATATCAAGGAAAGAAACTTAATTAGTAACTTTCTTAAAAACCTCCCTTAAAGAAAGCACAGGGCCAAATGATTTCACTGACTGGCTCTGTCAAACATTTAAGGAAGAAATACTGTCAGCCCAACATTAAATCATTCACCAAAAAAAAGGAGAAAAATTCTAATTCATTTTATTAGATCAATCCAATGCCCTTCATTAATAGGACACAAACAACTTTAGCAAAATACTAGCAAGGTGAATTCAACAAATGCACACTAAAAATTCTTAGCAAACACATTATGGAGGGGAACTTTCTCAACCTAATACAGAGCATTTCTCTCAAAATATCCCACCGCTAACATCATATATAATGAGGATAATCTTAGACTAGTCTGAGGCGAACACACACATTTCTGCTCCCCACACTTTTATTCAATGCTGTACTAAAAGGTTCTAGCAAGCTGCCCTGCACTCTGACTCGGGCGGTGGCGCTGGGGGGGTGTGGAGCCCGCGGGAAGAGGGGAGCCACAGGGCACAGACACCGGGGGTCAGGACATGCCAGATGTGGCCAGAACCCCCATCACCAAAGAAACATGGGGGGATCACGTGTGGTAGTGTCTGTGGTCCAGAGATGTTTTTAAAACCATGCGGATGTTAGGTGAAAATGAAGACCCACAGTGTGGGTTTCAGTTCTGCTCGGTTGTCCAGTGAAGTTTAATCCCCTCCAGTTCTGCCTCCTGTCCAGGCACCTTGCTGCCCCCAGGGCCCCGCCGAGGCCCCCAGTTCCCCCGGCCAGCAGACCGCCTCGCCTTCCAAACCTGCAGCGCCAGCCCTCAGCACGGGTCGCTGTCTCAGCCACCGAGGGGCCTCGATCCTAAGCGAGCATGTGTGTTCAGAACCAGTCCCGACGACAGCGTGGTGCCCCCGCGCTGACCACACACTAGCTTGAGACCAGGACTGTGACTGGTCAACTCATGCCACTGGCCTGGCCCACGAGAGGAGTTCACCCCTGGCACTCACAGAGGCCTCCTGCAGCTCGAGCTGGTTGTTCCAAAACAGCTTCATGTCACAGATGAAAGACAGAGAAGGAAGGAGGCCGGCAGGCAGGCAGGCAGCCAGACAGACAGACAGAGTAAGGACAAATAGATGACGGACAGGTGATAGGTGGCAGATATGGACAGACTGATAGATTATAGATAAGTGACAGCAAGATGATATGCAGATGGGGAGAGAGATGACAGACTACTTTTATTACAGACGTGAGGCATGATTCATGCACACACGTGCAGATATGAATCCTTTTTTGCGCTAACTCACCCCTTGAGAAACCCGCTTTCTGTCCAGGCCCGGGAGAGGTGACACTGTTCTCGCCCTCCCCCATGCGAGGGCGTGTTTCCAGGGTGCTTCTATCACACTGCACGGGATCCACAGGGACAGCAGTGACCGAGCTAACAGTTGCTCCCCACAGCAGCGCGGGGTGGGGCGGGGGCACAGAAAGTCCTGGCCCCGCGCTGGCCACAGCCGCCAGGAGCTGGCCCCAGGCCGCCGCGAGCCCAGGGGGACGCAGTCCCAACAGTCGCTCGCATCCAAACCACGAGCTCCAGGCCGTGGCCCCGATGAAGCTGGCCACGCCAGTACCTGAAAGCAGCTCCTCCTGTGTCCCCCCGGGAAGCAGCGCGGAGGGCAGTGCGGGCGGGCGACCTCTGACCGTGGTCACCGGGCTGCCTGGCTCTAATGGCGGGAGCGACCCTGGCCAGAGCCGCCGTGGGTCCGGCTCCTCTGCCCGTCCTCCACGCCGCGACCTGCAGGAGGCCCCCAGCTGCACAGGGATGTTCCATGAAGGGCCCGCGTCACTGGCTGTAAGCCGCAGGCGTCACATCGAAGGGTGTGGAGGCCCTGCCCGCAGCCAGCGCACCCCAGCAGAGGCCGTGAGCACTGTTCATCCGGCCGCCTCTCCGCTCACACCCTGCGGAGCCCGTCCATGCCTTGCCCCCCACCCCACAGCAGCCTGATGAGGTCAGACTCCTGCCTCCGCAGCCTCCACTGCCGCCGAGGAAGCCGGGCCAGGGAGCTCAGCCACGCCCGCGCGGCCAGCAGCTGCACGCTTGACCCCGACAAGGCTCTCTTCGCCTGTGGCCATGGGCCGGCTGCACACTTGGCCCCAGCTGGCTGCTGGAGACCCGCAGGCCCAGGCCCCTGGGGAAGGTCACAGGAGCCAGGCTGCTCTCTCCGAAGTGCCCAGACAGGCCCCCGGGGCCGCGGTGGCTCTCCAAATCCCTCAACAGAGATCATTTTCAATTTCTTCCTACCGTGATTCTCTAACAAAAGTTTAGATGTTCCGGCAAAAATACTTTGCTTTCGTAATCAAATTAACTGTCTCTCATTCCTACGGCCACTGAAGTAGAACGTTTCCTAATTAGAGTATTTGTTCACCACAAGCCTGGCGACAGTGTGACTCCCTTCCACCTTGTAAGGCTTCCCACCCCGTTTTTCTTGGGCCTCAGAGCATGGGCCACATCCAGAAACCTGCCTGCGGGCCAAGTGCCTCCAGAAAGCAAATCAGCACACTCTGAGCCGGCAGGCGCACCGCTTAGCAGGGGCTTAATGGCAGTCGAGGAAGAAAATCACCAAGTACTTAGCAGAACTATTTTGAGGGCCAACAAATGAGTCAAAACGAAAATTATTCTATTACATAAGGTCAAACCAATCATTTGGCAAATATTTATTACTCAGCCCTTTGTCCACATTTTTCATCTACTAATCACGCTTTAAATGAATTCTGCCTTTTAAAATGTTAAGGTATATTTTTCTAGTTTAACGAAACAAGAAAATAATGGTCCTTCAAGAAATTAGGCATCAATCCGTCAAACACACCAGAGGCAAGACATCTTGAGTCCTCTCTCACTGCGCTCAAGTTAAATCCTGGTAAACGGTGTATTTTTCAATGGCCTGATGGTTCAGATGAAGCAAGAGTAATCAAAGGCAGGCCAGGACCACACTGGGCTTGCCCCGGAAGGTCCCCTCCTAGTCTCTGCAGTAGTGAAGGCAGAACTGAGTCCTCACCCCTTGGCCTCCTGGGCCTCCCTGGCGACCTCCCGGACTGACCTTCCTTTTCCCACCCCAAGTCCTTCTGTCTGAGCTGAGCTGCTGAGGACGCACCCAAAGGCACGTGGGTGAGTCATGCATGTGGGTCTCTCCCACGTGCACAGGAGGTACAGATGTTATTATAAACGTCTTAATGGCTTCCTCCTCTTAAAAGGTTATATATAAGTACAATGAAAACTATAACTCTACTATTGTTGCTTCTCTCTTACAGTGCCTGCTATGAAATGGAACTGTGGCAGAGGTGTGTATGTATGTATAGGGAAGAACAGTACACCTAGGGGGCGAGGAGACACACACCCCGGGCCCCCTACAGTGGACAAGGGGTGCCAGCACCCATGCCGGAAGTGTGCCAGGTCCGGAGAGGTCAAAGCAATGTCAAAGGTCCTGGGTCAGCAGCCCTGTCCGGAGTGGGAGGCCTGGTCAGTACCCAGATGTCCTGACCACATCCCCACCCCGTCACTGGCATCAGGCAGCTGCTGGTTAAATGGCAACATCAAGGGCAACAAGTTCACGTCCCACACCTTGGGCTGAAGGTGCCCAGGCCGTCCTCAGGCCGAGATGGCCAGCGAGCAGTTTTAAATGTGGCCAGAAAAGAAACAAGAAGAGACTTTCGAAAAGCAGAGACTACTGAACAATCAGAAGACCATTTGTAAAACAGAGGCACGACTTCTAGCACTTTCATTAAAACCAAACAGTAAATTAATTTATTTTGGTTGATAATAACAAATGGGACAATGGACGTGTTAAGTGGAACGAGGCTACAGAACCGGGGAGGGCACGGGCAGAAAACAGCAGCCATCACCCCGGCCAGGCAACCGCAAACGCCTTTCTCCGTCCCTGCGAGCTGAAACCAGGACAGGCTCTTTCATCCTGCTGACCTGGGCTGCGTGGACAAGAGACCCTGTGTCCAGCTTCGTCCACTGTCCTGGTTCTACAAATAGACAGAATTGGCCCAGGGTCACTGTCCAGACAGAGATGAGACGGGGGAAGAGCAGGGGCAGCGGGGGGAACAGGGGCAGCACCGGGACGCCGCTCTGTGGCTCGGGAGACCCTATGGCGCTGGGCCTCACGCCCAGGGTGGGCAGGCGCATCTCCCCGCCCGTGGGGCCTGGGCTCACTGCTGCTCCACACCCTGCGCCAAGCAGGGGCAGAACCGGGGCGAGCCTTTGCCTGGGGGAAGCCACTGGCCCGATGGGAAACGGCGTCTCCACAACACCACACTCCATGTGACCACACAGGACACACACGAGAGGAATCACACCCCGTTCCCCGACGCTCCTTGCCTGCAGGGGTCCCCCTGGCACAGGTGGGCGAGGAGGGCTCAGCAGGGCTGCTACCTCACGGCCCGTTCTGTTTGTTCCATTTTCTCCTCTCCAGGAGGCTGTCACTGTGTCTGACAGGTCAGTGATGATATATTTACTCCTGGATATTTTTAAATCGACACCAGATTGTAGAATAAAGTTTTACAGAGACGTGTACAACACAGCAGGGGGGGTGATATCAAATTAGTTACAGCTGCCACTTTTTTTTTTAAGATTTATTTATTTATGCATCCAAGAGCTGGGGTACAGGCCAGAGGTGCAGGGCAGTGAGGAGATTCAGGTGCAGAGACAGACAGAGTGGGGAACAGAACAGGCAGACTGACTGAAATACACTGCTGAGGGGAGCAGAAGGGAGACAGGGGAGGTCTGCTGCGCCCTGTGGGGAGCTCCCTGGCCGGGGATCAAACTTGTGCTGCAGAGGCTGTGGACAGCTTCACAGGTTGCATCTTAACCCCTTGCGCCACCAGGGAGGCCCCAGCAGCCACATTTAAGTAACAGGCGAAGAAATGGAATCTCTGATAAGGTAACTGCACACGCCGGTGAGCACAGCTCATCAGACAACAGGGCAGGATAAAAAGGGCCTTGACCTGCGGAGTCACTAGCCCACGAGCTCAGCACCCAGCAGCGGGTGCCGACGAACGTCAGCAGGTGTGCGGCAGAACCAAACTCACACCTCTGGGCGCATGCAGACGTCTCGATAAATAAGGATGCGACTGTCCAGGAGGAAATGCCGGACAAGCCCCCCGAGTGCAGCCTCTGGCTCAGGGCACCAGGAGAGCCAGGACAAGAGAAGCACTCCGGGCTCCGGGCTGCTGACGCTGCAAACACTGAGGCCGTCTCACTCTTGAGTGCTCCTTTATGAAGGAGGAAACTGCCTCGTTCTCCTCACAGAGTGACCACAGGGGCGTCTGACATCAGCTTCTAAACTTGGCGGTCGCGTCGGGCTGAAGGAACCCGTGCAAAGCCCGCGGCCGCCGCCGTGCCCCCAGAACATGGAGCTGCAGGCCTGGCCCACACAGGGCCGAGGTGGCCGGCACAGCAGGACAGGAAACAGACTCCCCACCCCGCACCCCCCGGCACGGCCCTCTGCTCACAGGCCCCTTGCTTGCTTGGAGGGCGGGGTGACGCTCCCACACCTCCTGCAGAGCCCCTGGGGCCCCACGAAGGGGAGAAGGTTGTGTCCGGAGGGGTCTCCCGCTCCGGGCGGTGCTGCCCCCGGGCCAGTGGGGTCTCGGCCCGGCCTCCTGGGCTCATTCTCAGCCACATGAAATGACCTGAGGTGACGGAAGAGGAAAATGGGTAAGATGTGGGTCCAGCACACAACTGTTCTCAGTAGAACAGGGGCTAGAAACAGACTTATCGGATTTAATTTCAAATGTCTTGTTTGCCTTTAGCTCCCCACACACCTGAGCGCCATCTTTCTACATTAAAAATTAATTTTATTCAATATGATTTAATGAATTCAAGAAGGATTTGGTTAATGCTTACTATGTGCCAAGTATTCTGCAAGAAACTTAATAAATATTTGATAATACTAATATGTATGGAAATACTCACGGAGATAAACTACTTTACAGGTATAATACAAAACTTTATTAAAAGCTAACCGAAGAAGACCTTGTTAAATCAACATCTCAAACAAATCAGCTACAGCCTATTTTTTGTTCAAAATCGAAATGAGATTTTATTTCTCTTTTTGTTCGTCTCCACAAAAGTTGACGACTTTTTCGTTAAGTGCTTATTTTCTTGTTTGTTTATGTTTACATTCTTAAATACCTGTTCACATATTTTTTTTATTCAGTGGCCAACATATTCATTAAAATATAATTTACAGAACCGAAGTCTCTGACCCTCGGTTTTTTTTTTACCAAGTACCCTTTGAAGGTACTTGGTAAGAATCTCCAACTCTGCCTTAAAAAATAACACACTGAGGGGCCTCCCTGGTGGCACAGGGGTTAAAGACAGCGCTGTCAAGCTATTAGCAGCCTCTGCAGCGTGAGTTCGATCCCTGGCCAGGGAGCTACCCACAGGGCACAGCAGACCTCTCCTGTCTCCCCGCTGCTCCCCTCAGGCAGTGGATTTCAGTGGATCCACCTGTTCTGCTCCCCACTCTGTCTCTGGGGGATCCTCTCACCCCCACAATTCTGGCCGGTACCCTAGCTCTTGTATGCATAAATAAAAAAAACTTTTTAAAAGTAACACATCGAATGTGGTTCTAGAGCATTTTTCTGTCTGTCTCTTCAAGAGCAAATAAAGTCTGACTCACACGAAGTGCTGCTTCTCCGTTTCAAGCAGCTAAGGACTCACACAGCGCCCACTGTGTCTCCCTGTAATCTGTGAGATGCTAATAATCTCCCTGAGTGTGCACAGATTGCTGTGCTGGACATAAATAAAAAAAACCTCTATTTCCCAAGTCTAAAGAAACACAGTCCTGCACGGCACGTTTGAGACAGAAAATGAAGCGCAGCAGAGAACCGCAGCAGCAACAATGCACGGAGCAGCGTGGAGGGTGCAGCCCGGCAGCAGAAGGGGGGAGGGGCGGGGGAGGGGCGGGGAAGGACGAGTCATCTAGAAGGTCCGGCTGGTGCCACAGCCCCCTTGCTTCCCTTGCTAAACCTACCGACCAGAACCGCGGCCTTTATCCCAGGACTGCGAGGTGCCCAGAGAGCTAAATGTTGGTAGATGCCAGGCGCCCCGCAGTACCAGGCGTACCTGGTGGTCTCTGCGCCCCGGAGGCGCCACTCCGGTCAGCAGTGGACAGAGTCCTGCGATCCCAGGGGCTCACCAAGACGTTCAGCCGCAGAAGCCCGCGTCCACACAGAGCTGACGTGCCGAACATCGCGTCAATCCTCAGAGCCTACCGCCCAGGCGCGGGCCCGGGGTTCCACTGACGGGGAGAAGCGTCGTGCACGTGGGCTCCAGAGGCAAAGACTGAAACCCCAGAACACCCAAGAGTCCAGCTAGCCCCGCACAGCCCAGCTTCGGAAGCCGGAGGAGCCCGGGGCAGCTGGGCCTGGCTCGGCATGGACCCTCAGGACACAGGGCCACCCCAGCCGCAGGTGTGCGAGGCTGAAGGGTGCGTCAGGCCGGGCGGGCAAGTCCTCCACCCAAGCTGCACGACACAAGCTCCACTCCCCTGCGAGGTCCCGTCCCAGGGCACACGGGGCTGTGGAGCTGGTGTGACCGGTCACTGGCGCCCACGTTATGGTGACAAAACCAGCCGCTTTGCTAACAGCAGCTGGAAACATGTCGAGATCAACACCGTGGGTTGCGTTTACCACGGGAACTAAAAGCCATCGGCCGGGACGCCAGCCACCCCCGCGCCTCACGGACACGCCATTGTCCCGGCCTGCCGAGTGGCGCCGTGTCGTCGCGTGCTGTGGGTGTGGCGCTGAGCGGGACTGTGCTGGATCACGGCGTAGCGCGCTGTGTTGTATGATGACACTTGGATTTGGAACCCGAAGACGCAGCTGATATTCTCCAGAAAAGGACATTCACGCGGGAACCCCGGCCAGCCACGGCCCAGAGCTGCAAGGAAGAGCCGTTGCTCGGCCCCACTGCCGTGAGCTAAGCGCTGCAGCGCGGCTCCGGCTTGGAGGCGCCCCAGGAGGGGGGCGGATTACCCTAATCGTCCGCGCCATCAATTACCATGTATGCCGATGACATTTTCATGTTCAAGATAAATCCTGACAAATCCGGTTTGGCTTTGCTGGATTTCCTGGATTAATTATGTAATTGTCAGAATGTAAAATTAACTGTGGAAATCTGGTCTGGTCTGAACAGCCGCAAGGAGCTCTTGCCTAAAGCAGCCGCTGCTGACCGGCTGAGGGCTCCGGCGCTGGTCAGCGCTCCTGACCTCAGCTCGTCACGGGGCTTCACCGAGAACAGCGCCAGCCGGGCCAGGCTCCCCTGGACGAGGGCCGCAGACCCGCCTCCCCGAGCTCACGTCTATCTCTGGTCTCGCTGGGGCTCCGACCATCACCAAGAAGCTCTGTGGGCGGCCTGTGTCGCAAACGGGGGCAGGGCCTCTCCCCCATTCCCAGAAGAAACGTGCAGCAGCCGGAATGACCCCAGTGAACGTGCAGACACGCCACCCTCTGAGCAGGTTTCCTGAAGGACTCTGGGGGCTGCTCAGCCTGGCAGCCACACGGGGGGAGCCGGGACAGGAATCCCAGCATCGTGAGGCCCAGGGCCCTCTCCCCACGCGTTAGCTGGTAGTCCTCCTGGTGGGGGGTCAACTGGACATCTATAGCAATAGCACAGCACAAGGCTGGCCTGGCAGGTGAGGAATTAAAACGGGAAGTGAGCCCCGTGGGCAGGAAAATAATGAGGAGAAACGAACGGCACAGCCGGCAGCCAGGGGAAGGGCGTGCGCAGCCGGAGAGCAGGGTCAGCACCGGGAGCGTGTTATTTCAGGACACAGCCTCTTGATTTAGCGCCTGCAGCCCCAGGTCTGCAGGGCCGTGGCCCCTAATAAATCCCGGCCCTAGCACCCGTGCTCCATCACCCCGCAGGAGCCCGTAAATCAGCCCGGAAGGGCCAGCAGCCACGCCGCAGCAGGGGCCCGACCACATTTCCGTTTTATTTGCAGGTGCGTGAGAAGAAGTGGGGAGCTTTGCAGAGAGGAGACCCTGCCTTTTGATTCGTGATTAACGAGGAGGACGGGGCAGCGGGAGCAGACCCCTCCTGCTCCACTACGGCGCCCACCTCCTCTCTGCCTGACAGCCACGCGGCAATTTGGCTCAAAACAGCCATGGGCCAAGGTCAAGGGGGCGAGCGTGTGGGGGCCCAGGGGCCCCCTGCTATGCGCCTGAGCTGTGCGTCCTAGAAAAGCTGGCTGGCGGGGCGGCCGGTCTGCCGCGCTTCTCAAACCCAAAGGACACAGATGGCCGGTGCCGTGTCCCGAGGGGGAGTAAGGCAGGAAGGGCTGTGGCCACGGAGGTCGTGAGAGGCCGTGACTGGACCCCCAAATCCGAGGCAGCCACCCCGCCTTTGCTTCAGTGTTCCCTGCCCTATTCCAAGCTGCCGCCACAGGATAGTGGAGATTATTTGTACCTGATAGTCCCGGTGCGCTTCCAGTTAAAAAGCAAGTTCTCCTTCGCAGCTGTTCTGTACTTTGGTCTGACCAGAAGCAACAATGTAATCAACTCGCTCCTCTACTGTCCGCGAAGGGAAGGTCCCACTTGTCCAACTTTCTGGTCAAGATCTGATGCTGGACATCTCTGCTCATCGTCCAAGTCGCTCTTTTTTTCTTTCATCCTGAAAGTGAAATTTGCCTCAAATACATTCTCAAAAGAGAGCTATTTAGTTTAGCTGAAAAACACCGGCTCTTGAATTTACAAATCCTTGTGCTCCCTCCGAAGCACAGTCCCCAGAGCACTAGACCCGCTGGTGAAATACTCGGTCTTCCCGAGCATTCGCTGACGCAGGCCACAGCACGTTGACAAACAAGGTTGGCATTGAAGCCAACAGTTGCAATTCGGCAGAGAGAAGTTCTCTCTTTTTCATTTTAATAACGTTTCTGCACAAATTCCAAAACGACAGGGTTCCTGTTACTCTGGGTTCGGTGCTCATTACTCATCCTGCCAGCGCGTCACTGGATGTGTACTTAGCAGTAAAGGGGGCTTTTACGGTGTCTAAGACGATGCCCCCTGCAATCTGTCGTTGGCCTGCGCTCTGCCTTGCCGGTTAATCACCCCATTATAGATCCTGAGACTCTGACAACAGAGGGATTGGAATGCAGCCGCCCCCAGATCAGAATTAGCTCCATGAAAATGAAGTCAGGATAACAAATGTGAGATTGGGACTGAAATAAAGGCTTCAAAAGATGTTTGCCCTGGACACCTCTTAATACGTTTACCCAACAAGGGAGGAGCGCCCCAAACACACAGGAGCCCAGAGACTTGCACTTGACCGTGGGGGAGGAGCCAGTAAAAGCAGCCGTTTCCCTGGATTTGGGGGACGCAATCCAAGCAGGCCAAGCTCCCAGGAACAGGCGTCGGCCGTCTGTTTCCCTGCCCTGCCCGTGGAGAGCAGGGGAGGCCGCAGGGCTCTGTCTGTCACCCCCACCTGCCCGGGGCCCTCACGAGCCACTGTCGCGCCCCACGCTGCTCCCGCTCCGTGCGCCCCGCTGCTGCCATCTCCAGGAACCCGCAACGACGGGAACAGCCCACGTGAGGCGTCCTCACAGCCGTACAAGCCTCGGAATTCTCTCGTGATCATCTGTATTCGAAACATCTTTAGTACAAAAACCTTTGGAAATTCAAAATATTTGCAGCTATCAAGGATCATGAGATCGCTGCTACAGTACCTATAGGATATTTATTTGAAAAATTACACTTTGAAAAAGCACTTCGTTAGCAAAATGCCAAATTTAGAAGAAATCCCACTAAACCAGCACGCCTAATTTCCCCCCTGTTAAAGATAACAGAAACGCAGTTTGTGGAGACGCTCTCTATTGCCGTGACAGCCAAGACTTCATGGCAAATTGGTCTGCGCCGACGCCACTGAATGACTAGAAACTCGGTGCTTTTCAGCGAACGAGATTCCGAACACGGAGCCCAGCAGCGAACACTGAGCAGGGCTGAGGACGTGGAGAAAGCGCGCCCGTCTGACCTGGAGCGCCTCCGCAGGAGCAAGACGTAGCCCACACGCATCGCTCGGCGCGTCACGGCACAGACGACACCCATGCGCGGACAGCGAGCCCCGCCTGAGACAGCGCTGGGTGTGCGACCAGCATTTCAGCTTTTCACAAGACCACACACCGGCCCGTAGACGCCGCAGCGCAAGGGTGGTGTCTCCCAGGTGCCCGCCAGGAGACGCTTCCCGCGGCTTCCAAGAACTCCTGACGCGTCAAGTGCAGGCCCTCGTGCTCCCCTCAGAACGTCCACCATCCCCCTCGCTGGACTGCAGCAGCGCCCCACCAGGCACAGTCTCATTTATCCAGAGCCGTAGTTCCTAGCAAGATGCACGCACGGTACCCAACCTCAGATGTGCGCTGAGCTGACGGAATATAATAAAGACGTCTCAAAAGGTGACTCACGGCCGACGGCTCACAGCTCTTCCAGGACAACATTTTGTCATCCTGGGGACAATCGTCGCTTCAGAGGAAACGGCCACACTTTGGAGGAAAGGGAACGAGCTCACAAGCAGACCCCCCTGTGAGTGTGAAAATAAGTGTGCGAGTGCACACTTTCACGCTAACATTGTTTCTAGACCTGGCTTTTAAAAACTCAGCTAAGAAATAAACCATCATAAGAAAAGGGCGGCAGAGAGGACGTCAGGCCATCACAGACCCCGCCCAAGAACAGGCACGCGTGGGAAGCAGCCGGTGGGGCCGGGTGAGCCGCCAGGACAGCACAGGCCCCAGGTGAGCCGGTTAAAGTCTGAAAGGCGAACAGCCGGGTTCACCAGAGATCTCAGCAGGTATGTTTTTAATTTGTCAAACATCTACATGACCATGCGACTTGGGGACACACCTCATGCACCACCCCCCAAGCGCCAGCGCCATCCCTGCCAACAAAGCCCAAAGGACCTTCAGAAACTTAATGCAGACGAAATACATTCTCCGTTTATTTAACTTCCAAAGGGCTTATCTTTCTAGTTGAGAACAATGCACCGAAGTCATCCCACAGTCTTTAGAAAACCATGGCGCTGACTCCACTCCCCGGCCGAGGCCTCTCTGGGCTGGAAACTGGGCTCCGGCAGGTGGAGTCGGTGTCTGCTTGGCTGGCTCGCAGCTTTTCCTCGGCAGGAGGCTCAGTCTTCCTTGAGGAGGAACCTGGGCCCCCACAACTGCAGTCCGAGCCCCGAAGACAGAGACTGATGTGTCCTGTCTCGCTCGTGGCCGGCACGTCTCTTGCTGCCTTGAAAAATGACCAAGGTCCCTCAGAAACACAACACAATGAGGAAGAAGGACTAGAGGAGGAATAAGCTGTGGGACTCAGCCGCACGCACCCCTCACCTGCACTGCCTCTGCACGCGCCGGGGGTCTGATGCTGGCCCAGCGCTGCTCCGCGCCCTCACGTCCCCTCCTGCCAGCTGGACCCCCTGTTCCAGGAGTCCCCTCCAGAACACACTTCCCTGTGGTCGTCCTGCCCAGCCTCCTGCTTACCAGCCTGTCTCAAGTGCCCCGGGGTAGCTGCCCGAGGGTGGCAGACAAACGGCCTCCCTTCTGAAAGATTTATGACGCTGGGAGAAAGGTCCAAGCAGTTGACCTGTGCATGTGGCTCCAGGAACCGCTTGCAGGTGAGAACCTCCCGCCTCACCCACCCGCCAGGGCCCGGCCAGCACTGCCAGCCCCGGAGACTTCCACCGACGCTGTTCCACAGCCATGTTTCACCCCATGGAACCCCACCCTGCTTTCAAGCTATCAGACATCCTAATTGACGATTTTAATTGTATCACACAATCATCTTCTGAACCAGATTTCAAAATGATCTGATCAAGAAGAACCAGTTTTATTAGACTGGACAGAACTCACCATCAGCTTTCTAGAGAACAAAACCGCCATCTTTATTTTGCAGAGGATTCCTGAGTCACATGCACTAGCTCATAAGACAGACATGACTGAATCCTTATTCCACACGCGTGTCCTCCTTGTGCAGTGGACGGCGCGGAACGGCCCGTTGAAGCAAGCCCTTGCCCTGGCGCGGGGCCCGACGCTGGGGAGCGAGGCAGGCAGGGCTGGATGAAGGGAGGCACTGGGCACGGGAGCAGGAGGGGGTCACCCTGATAGAGCCTCAGTGGCTTCTAGATACAGGCCAGGCGTCAAGCGACAGGGCCTGGGGCCTCCGCTCTCCCGAGCAGACCCTGACCCGGCTGCATCTCCATGCCTGTGACCTCAGTGGGACCGCACAACCCCTGGGTCAGCGCTACCTCCCGGGGCTCCCTGCTGGCCAGGCTGCCTCTGCCTCTGTCCTGGGCTGACCTTTGAGTGCGTCTGGTCTGGAAAGCCTCCCAGGCAGCTCTTTGTTCTGTCCAGCTGGATAAGGATTTTGTCCTTTTTATTCAAAACCGTAAAGGGGAACTTTTAAAAATGCCAGAAGTAAAAAAAAAAAAAAAAAACCCAGAAAATAGCAGCACCCTCCAGAATACCCTGGAGACCATCGCGTGAGGCTCTGGGCTCTGCCCGAGGTGGGGACGGCCCAGTCCCAGGCAGGTTACCTCCAACACCGGCTCGTGAGCCTGTTCTTCACCCCAACCCCACCCTCTCCGCGAAGTCTGAGCACCTGCCGCCCCATTTAAGCTCCCGTCTGTGTTTCTGACCTGGCCCTCAGAGACCTCGGTCTGTGCCGATTTTGGGGGCTTTGCTCCGGGGCTGTTTCCTTGAATTTCACGGGGATTTGCGCTCTGAGCTCTCTTCTTACCCACAGACTAAAGTCATCATTCGCCTTATCCTCACCACCCACCTTGAAAAGGGATCGCTCTTCATCTGATTTTGTTTCTAATCCTCAATCTTGAGGATTTTCTGAATATTAATCAAGCTGCAACATTGCAGGGCATGAAACCAAAAACAGGAGGCCTGAACGGCGAGTCACATTATTCTAGTATAAAAGCCGCCGCTGGGATCCAGGAGGGAGAAATAATCCCGCAGGCACCAGCATCTGGGCTCTGCCCATGGCGGGCAGTGGGCGGTTTCCAGGAGCGGAGGGGATTATGCACCTCCCCTGGGAAAGCCGGGCCGGGCCCCCACCGGCCACCTGGCCCGGCCGCCAGCGGGGTGCGCCTGCAGATATGTGCTCGGGAGAAATGTTTGCTTTGGGTTTGCCCTGGATCACGACCACAAAAGTGATCAACTAGAACAGAGAAAATTAAAAAGTTTAAGGATTACAGAGTTTGTTAATTTCGGGAAATGAATATTGTGGATACCTAAAAGTGTGTTTGAATGGAAAATGGCTTTTGAGTTAGAGAAACATTACTATGAAATTACTATTCCCTCCCACCCTGCCTTCTCGCCGTATGATGGATGCTAGTCGGGCCTGCTGCGCTGGCCCGTTTCCAGATGTTGGGGATTTGTTCCTGGTAGCCGCTGTATGCAAGTTAGCTTATCCCCGAAACTGCCTTTTAGCCATTCTCTCTCTCCCCCCTCCCTCCCCCTCTCCCCGCTGGAGGAGGCCCTTGGAGGAGAGACAAGGACAAGCTGCGCGGGTGAGACCCGCAGGGCGGGAGGGCTGTGGCCCTTGGCAGAGGCAGCGCAGCTCTGTCCAGGCCCCGCGCTGCACGCTGGTGTGTTCCGCACGCTCTCTCTCCTGTGCCTG